GTACTTATGAAACACAATGACATTATCCAAATTGTTTCTGAATAAATTGACAATAATCTTAAAATAATATTTTAGTCCAAAAGTCTCTGAGCACTTTGTAATCCCAGTGAATATTTTAAATAAACAAATCCTCTAAATTAATAACTGAACACAGATATAAAAAACTGAAATTAAAATAAAAACAATTATATGAATAACTGTGTACTTCTTCCTCCTTATATATATATATATATATATATATATATATATATATATATATATATATATATATATATATATATATATATATATATATCCCCAGGACTCTATGTTTAAATACATCTCTGCTTAATACATGTCGCATTACATTGCAATTGTTCACCTATCCAAACGGAAAAGTAATTCAAAGTGTATACATAGTAATTTTCTACACCTTACAAATATCATAATCAAGGCTGAGTGTAGAACTGAAACGCTGGTAAAGAACCTATTGATGATTTCGACAATATATCATCCATGTCATTTATCCAATCAAACAAAGCTATCCTACTCATTCGAGTGCGTGACTGACTCGGTTTTGATCCTTTTAGACCTTTGTCTTCCATTGTGTAGAAAATCCACCAGGTCTGCTATTTTTGTTTTAAAACTAAACATTTATGACCAGTAGCATGTTGAAATGTATTCCCAAGATTTTCCGAGATTCGTTTTGAGAAATATTATGATGACGAAATCGGATGATGAAGACTAAGACCTGGTAAACCACATTCCTAATCTTACTGTAACCCAGCGTCAAGCCTGTTGTAGCGCGTATGTAGATATCACAAATTAATAGCTCATTCTCTCAAAATAGAATAGCCACTCATAAAGAAAAAATAGTAATGTAATTTGTACTTTATAAGTGATCATTACATTCTAAAGTCATGGACTAAAACATTAAACAAACAATATAGATATGCATAACAGCCGTTCTTGTTTACAATTAGATTAGATTTTTTAGGAACATCCTTTTGTGGCATAGGTCAAGTAAAAATGAGTATAAATAGGAAGTTGATGAATACGTATTTATTTCCTGTGTAATATCAGTCTGTGAGAATCTATTAAGTTTAAAGTTCTGTTGTTGAAATCATAAATAATTTAGGAGGAATTCTTTATTTACAATATTCATTAGAATTATCAAAGTGCTCATTGAATTGTTGGATTAATAAAATTAATTTTAATTATTCTGAGCTCATTCAAAAACATTACGGGTTGCATCATTAGTTTAGCAGGATATTCAAGAATGTATATCAGGACATTCAATACTATTGGAATTAATTCAAAAATGCTCTATTTATTGACATGTGGTTGGACATTTAGGATTATTTGATATTTAATTCACAAAACTGTAAGTGTCTCTTTAATTGTAACGTTATATTCATGGTAAGCAAATAGTTTATTGAGTTTTAATTAAATTGTTGGTTTCACTTCCTGTCTGTTCAATATTCGGTGCTTAATTAAATTGTTGATTTCACTTCCTGTATGTTCAATATTCGGTGCTTAATGAAATTGTTGATTTCACTTCCTGTCTGTTCAATATTCGGTGCTTAATGAAATTGTTGATTTCACTTCCTGTCTGTTCAATATTTTAAGGCCTAGAGTGGTAATAGTTGCATTTACAATCTTAGTAACAGAGCAAAGACTACTACTAAAAAAAAATGGTTTATGTTAACGAAAAATTAAAGGAGAAATATTAAATTAGTTAAAATAATCAGTGTTTTTCTTGTCATATATTCAACAGTATTTTTTGACAGATTCATTATTATATCAACAGTAATTCGGACAGATTCAATAATATATCAACTGTAATTCGGACAGATTCAGTAATATATCAACTGTAATTCGGACAGATTTAGTAATATATCAACTGTAATTCGGAGAAATTCAATAATATATCAACTGTAATTCGGAGAAATTCAATAATATATCAACAGTAATTCGGACAGAATCAGTAATGTATATATATATATATATATATATATATATATATATATATATATATATATATATATACAGTAATTCGGACAGCTTCAGTAATATATCAACTGTAATTCGGACAGATTCAGTAATATATCAACTGTAATACGGACAAAATTTAGTAATATAGCAACTAATTCGGACAGACTCAGCATTATAGAACATTGAAGATATCTTCAAAATAAATCGAATGCAATAAACATGTGTGAATTAAAATATATATTTGTAAATTAAAATTATATTACAATTATGATATACAAGTTTCTAATAACTATCAATAATGGTTACTTTAAAATGAATAATAGTCCTTACCTGTACTATAATTTTCTTCAGTCTGACTGATTCACTTTTTCTCAGAAGATCTTATCTTGGGTCAAAAGGTCATGTCTTTCATGGCTGGTCTGACTGGTTTCATTACTAAATTTGAATAAGAAGGATGAAAAAAGATCACGTTATTGTGCAATTGATAAGGATATTTTGTTCATGATCATGTATTGTAGAACTTCTATAGATCAAACCGAAATGCTTTTCAAATTTTAAACTTGACTAATATTGGTTGCAAATGAAAAACATTAAATAAATCACTATCATGAGTTTTTATCTCGTCTGCCATACATGATAAACTGATTGTTTTCATTTTATGTCACAAGCTCTCGCAAAGTCCTTCATTGAAATCAATAAAAAAGCATAGGGATGTGGCACTACTTGATGTTTGAAAGTACCAAGGAATTGGTGAAGGTCGAGGTTAACTTGATGAGAATTTACCAAAGAGTTTCGTGAAAGGCGAGAATAATTTGATGTGAATTTACCAAGGCGTTTAGTGAAGGGCGAGGCTAACTTGATGTGAATTAACCAAGGAGTATAGTGGAGGGCGAGATTAACCTAATTTGAATTTGCCAAGGAGTTTGGTGAATGGCTAGATTAACTTGCTGTGAATTTATCAAGGAGTATGGTGAATGGTTAGAACAAATTGCTGTGAATTTATCAAGGAGTATGGTGAATGGTTAGAACAACTTGCTGTGAATTTAACAAGGAGTTTGGTGAATGGTTATGACAACTTGCTGTGAATTTATCAAGGAGTATGGTGAATGGTTAGGACAACTTGCTGTGAATTTATCAAGGAGTATGGTGAATGGTTAGGACAACTTGCTGTGAATTCATCAAGGCGTTTGGTGAATGGTTATGACAACTTGCTGTGAATTTATCAAGGAGTATGGTGAATGGTTATGACAACTTGCTGTGAATTTATCAAGGAGTTTGGTGAATGGTTAGAACAACTTGCTGTGAATTTAACAAGGAGTTTGGTGAATGGTTAGGACAACTTGCTGTGAATTTGCCAAGGAGTTTGGTGAATGGCTAGATTAACTTGCTGTGAATTTATCAAGGAGTATGGTGAATGGTTAGGACAACTTGCTGTGAATTCATCAAGGCGTTTGGTGAATGGTTATGACAACTTACTGTGAATTTATCAAGGAGTATGGTGAATGGTTATAACAACTTGCTGTGAATTTAACAAGGAGTTTGGTGAATGGTTAGAACAACTTGCTGTGAATTTAACAAGGAGTTTGGTGAATGGTTAGGACAACTTGCTGTGAATTTGCCAAGGAGTTTGGTGAATGGCTAGATTAACTTGCTGTGAATTTACCAAGGAGTTTGGTGAATGGTTAGGACAACTTGCTGTGAATTTATCAAGGAGTTTGGTGAATGGTTAGAACAACTTGCTGTGAATTTATCAAGGAGTATGGTGAATGGTTATGACAACTTGCTGTGAATTTATCAAGGAGTATGGTAAACGGCGAGATTAATGTTTAAGATTATTAAAAACATCGCATTGGTCATTTGGTAAATGTAAAACAGAATTTTTAATTATGATCTGGAATACATACTTTTATGATCTTTTACTGATTTTCCTTTTCTTTCTGTATTTAATTGTGCTTTTGTCTAAACACTATTTCAAAAGTACTGATCTGTAACATTTAAGTTAACATAGAACGGGTCCATGCAACAAACCGATGGTCGTTCTAAACAATTTTGTGGCTAGTCGCATTACACACACACACACACACACACACACACACACACACACACACACACACCTAATTAAAACAACACTAAATTCTCTTTCTTAATTCATTATTTTAACACCCGACATCGGTATTTCATTTCCTTTGTTTATTTGCATTTGTTTGTGCATTGGTATGTTCACAATTCTCATATTTGTCTCTGTTTTTGTGTATTAATTTGTTTGTTCCTTCCTTCCTTCATTCATTCTTATTTTGCTCCAATGCCTGTTGGTTGTTCCCTTGTTTATCGTTTCTTATTGTCAAAATTAATTAAATAATTGCTGCTAAAATGGTGTATTGATTGGATCAATAATTTAATAATGATACGATAATTATTGCTATATCCTGCTTTCTCCCTATCCAATGTATGCAATGTTTTTTTCTGATCAACTGTTTTATATACTTTGGACAGAGCGAGAAAAATATGTCACATTTTTGTGTTTTTCATACATAATCGCTTTTTACGACTAAAGATATCTAACAAAAACTGATACATTTTGGGGTGGTAGACAAAGAAGTTTAGACCTAATAAATTTATTAATTCGTTAAGCATCATTTGGATCACACGCTGCAGAGTTAAATATGCATTTTGTTTTTCTTTAACTGCATACACCTTTGTTTGCATCTCATATTTGTAGATTAGACTAATTTGATGCTTCAGTCAGATATATACAATAACAGACAGCTGTTTGTAAAAGATGGTGTGTGATTATGTGATTATGATTTTTAACGTAGCTTAAAAAAAATTCAGTCACATCGCTACGAGGTCTGCAGTGTGGCAGTTTATAGTGATATCTAGCACTTGGCATCATGCCGCGTACATGTAACATGATGTCCAACCAGTCACATTATCCTACAACCAGGCCGACCAGTTCTAACACTGACCTCTTAATGCTGAGCGTCAAGCGAGGCAGCTGTTAGTATCATTTTTGTAAGTCTTTGGTATGATTCGACTGGGGATCGAACCCACGACCTCCCGCATCCGAGGTTGTCGCTCTAACCACTAAGCCACCAGAGCGGTTAAAAGATGGTATTGTTAGCAATTACGTATAACACATGAGGCAGATATATGCAATAACAGGTAGTTTTTTTTTATAAACGATGGCCGTGTTAACAATTACATATAACACGCAAGGCAGATATATTCAATAATAGATAGCCGTTTTTCAAAGATGACCGTGTTTGCAATTTCCCTGTCTGTTTTAATAAAGTTAGTCAAGATTTATTTGAGGAATAACAATGGTCTTGTACAGTGGCAGATCGGTATTCTTTGATACATACACCTTTATCGGTTATGTGAGTATTGTTGTTATTGTTGTTGTAGGGCTTAACGTCATGTTCAGCACACTATAGGCTATACATGACGGCCAGTATTATTGGTGGAGGAAGAAATCCGGAAACACCGACCCAAGAGAAGCTACTAGCAAGCTTTTCACATATCCACATTCGCCGAATCCTAGACTCGAACAGACGCAGACAGAGGTGAGATGGCAGTGATCCGTAACGGACAGTGCTTTAGATCACTTGGCCAATCGGGTCCATATGTGAATATTGTAGATGTGGGCACAAGAGTCTGCAGTTTTATCAATAACGCACAACGAAATTTCTGACAACATGAATTCTACTAGTTTTTTACCTTGCAGTAAATATGTGTTAGCGTCTGATAATTGTTCCAAACACGGCGCAGAATCTGTTATCGTTTAATAGTAGGGAAATTTAATACTGCGAACTCCGTCAATTAGATGAATTTGCTCATAATAACGAATACATCATGAAAATGTTATTTAAAATATTATATTACCTATAATTTCAAAAGTTGTAAAAATATTTCTCTCATCGTCGTCGTCGTCGTCATCATCATCAATGGTCCATCTCTCATACAAATATAATAGCAGTGTTGATAGAGAGCTGTGTATAAAATACATAGCAGTGTTGATAGAGTGCTGGGTATGGAATACATAGCAATGTTGATAGAGTGCTGGGTATGGAATACATAGCAATGTTGATAGAGTGCTGGGTATGGAATACATAGCAATGTTGATAGAGTGCTGGGTATGGAATACATAGCAATGTTGATAGAGTACTGGGTATGGAATACATAGCAGTGTTGATAGAGTGCTGGGCATGGAATACATAGCAATGTTGATAGAGTGCTGGGTATGGAATACATAGCAATGTTGATAGAGTGCTGGGTATGGAATACATAGCAGTGTTGATAGATTGCTGGGTATGGAATACATAGCAATGTTGATAGAGTGCAGGGTATGGAATACATAGCAGTGTTTATAGAGAGATGGGTATGGAATACATAGCAATGTTGATACAGTGCTGGGTATGGAATACATAGCAGTGTTCATAGAGAGACGGGTATGGAATACATAGCAGTGTTGATAGAGAGATGGGTATGGAATACATAGCAATGTTGATAGAGAGATGTGTATGGAATACATAGCAGTTTTGATAGAGTGCTGGGTATAGAATACATAGCAATGTTGATAGAGAGATGTGTATGGAATACATAGCAGTGTTGATAGAGTGCTGGGTATGGAATACATAGCAATGTTGATAGAGAGATGGGTATGGAATACATAGCAATGTTGATAGAGTGCTGGGTATGGAATACATAGCAATGTTGATAGAGTACTGGGTATGGAATACATAGCAGTGTTGATAGAGTGCTGGGTATGGAATACATAGCAATGTTGATAGAGTGCTGGGAATGGAATACATAGCAATGTTGATAGAGTGCTGGGTATGGAATACATAGCAATGTTGATAGAGTGCTGGGTATGGAATACATAGCAATGTTGATAGAGTACTGGGTATGGAATACATAGCAGTGTTGATAGAGTGCTGGGTATATAATACATAGCAATGTTGATAGAGAGATGTGTATGGAATACATAGCAGTGTTGATAGAGTGCTGGGTATAGAATACATAGCAATGTTGATAGAGAGATGTGTATGGAATACATAGCAATGTTGATAGAGAGATGGGTATGGAATACATAGCAATGTTGATAGAGAGAAGTGTATGGAATACATAGCAGTGTTGATAGAGAGATGGGTATGGAATACTTAGCAGTGTTTATAGAGAGAAGTGTATGGAATACATAGCAGTGTTGATACAGAGATGGGTATGGAATACTTAGCAGTGTTCATAGAGAGAAGTGTATGGAATACATAGCAGTATTGATAGAGAGATGGGTATGGAATACTTAGCAGTGTTCATAGAGAGAAGTGTATGGAATACATAGCAGTGTTGATAGAGAGATGGGTATGAAATACTTAGCAGTGTTCATAGAGATATGTGTATGGAATACGTGGCAGAACTGATGGAGAGCTGAATATGGAATACATGGCAAAAACCTGCTTGCAATATGTAACCAATTATTTTTTGGCATGAGTTAAAACAGTATTAATACTTTGTATTATTGATAATCCAACGTGTATTTAAGAGTGCTGGCCAAATGGTTATTTTCTACTTGACCAAATGATATTTCTTGCCTTGTTGTTAGTAGGCTTGCTAGATATAGTGTTGATCAAAGGTCTAAACATGGCATAAAGGATAAATGTCCTAACATTCTTTCTTAATGTAAGCAATGAGAGTTCCTGCAACCATTACTGCTCTCTGAACCATAGTAAATATTGTATTTCGTATTTCTTATCTTTATGTACACTACGTGATCTTCGATGACATGTTTCGGTGATACAATCGTGATGTGTAAAGGATCCGCTATCACGAAAGTAGAACTATCTTAATCATAATCTGTCACTGTCCATTGATAACATACTTATAAAGTCATCACCAACAACACAGCTTGGTCCAATTTTAATTTCACAACTGTAATGTACTGTTCAAATATTGCTATAATATTTTCATACTAAACTTACTCATCTAAAAGTACCTTCAATTTAGTATCAGGATCTGATTCTTTAAAAATAGATTACAGATTCTGGTGGCTATGTCTATTAAATGACACTGGGAAATCCCAGAATACAATGTTCACATCCACAGTGCCCAATGTATATGGTTATACCAATTGTTCACATCCAGTGTCCAATATAGCTGGATATACCAAAACTGTCATGCCACAGTTTGATTGCAACTTTGCAATAAGTCAATTTCAAGTTATCAGAAATGTTTCATTATTTGTACTGTTCATTATGTTGCATTGCTGTCATAAGTTGGATGACTCGACCAATTCAATGTGGTAAATTGAATCTCTGAACAAATAACAATCACCCTGATCTGTCACTGTGTTATGCAGTTTGTTAGGCCTAATCAGTAGATAAAAATAACATAGACATGATCTGCCAGTATTAATGTGCCAGCAGATATGGATATATGCATTTTGTCAGACCTAATCAGTAGATCCAAACAACATAGACATGATTTACCGGTATTAATGTGCCAGCAGATATGGATATATGCATTTTGTCAGACCTAATCAGTAGATCAAAATAGCATAGGCCTTATATTCTTCGAAATGATCTTTCTATATCTAGCTTGAAGTTGAAATCTATTTATACACAAGCTAATACAGTATTGTAAAATTTAGAAAAGCACGTGAATGGATTTACAAACGTCTATATATAGAAGTCTTGAACTGTGTATTGTCATTGTAACTGATTACTTTTATATACCAGTATTGTCATTGCAACTGGTACATATGTACTCAGAACTTTATTGATTTAATTTTCTTCATTATTTGCATTTCTTGCAAGCTCAGACTAAACACTACAAATACACAGGATATCATATTTAGCATGCAACATGAGAATACGCATAGCACTCGTGTCCCCGTCAAATGACTGGTCAGAAATTGCGGTTAGTGTGAATTAGGTTTATTGTTTACAATATCAGTTTCAACTTGGTATGTACATCACGACTTTCCTATATACCATAGATAAGTCAGGTGCAACGTGATAAGGGGGAAAATTCGTACTATGTGACCCTTAAGCGTTGTAGTTATAGTACTTGTATAAATCAATTTACATAGTTAATTTCATCACGTGAACGAGTTTGAAAATATGTATGCAGAGAGAGAGAGAGAGAGAGAGAGAGAGAGAGAGAGAGAGAGAGAGAGAGAGAGAGAGAGAGAGAGAGAGAGAGAGAGAGAGAGAGAGAGACTGTAAAAATACATATTTCTCTATTCCTTTCAGTTCATCAATCTATTCCAGAATTAACTCCTTGCTTTCTATTTTTAAATTCTGAGATAAGAAAGGATTTCCTCTAGATTTAGAGATAATACATTTATAAAACGTTAGTCAATTTTCTGAGTTTGCCTGTGTGTGATAATTGACTGCATTGTTCAATTCTGCCGGTGTGTAATAATTGACTGCATTGTTCAAGTCTGTCCAAGTGCAGAATTGTAATATAGTGCGGAGCAGTTGCTAAAAGAAATACACAAAAATCCGTGCAATGCTTGATCAAACTCTGGAAAGAAAAATGAAAGATTTATTCAAAATTTCAATTGTTCTCAGAGTATTTCGAGGTAAAGGCCTTTTTCTATATATCTCAATTGTTCTCAGTGTAATTCGGTGTAAAGACTCTTTTGTATGTATCTAGTCCAAATTATTGTGTTTATGGTCCTTTTTTTGGGCACGTATGGTCCTAACATGTAGTCCCAATTTGGTGTATATGGTTTTGACTTGTGACTATGTGGTCTTACTTTCGGTGTATATGGTCCGAATTTGGATGTGTATGGTTTTAAATTTGTGTATATGTTCCTAATTGTTTGCATATGGTCTTAATGTGTGTATATGGTCCTTATTGTGTGTATATGGTTCTAATTATCTGCATTTAGTCCTTATTGTGTGTATATGGTCCTTATTGTGTGTATTTGGTCCTTATTGTGTGTATATGGTCCTAATTATGTGTATATGGTCCTAATGTGTATATATGGTCATAAGTATGTGTATTTGGTCATAATGTGTGTATGTGGTCCTTATTGTGTGTATACGTTCCTAATATGGTGTATATGTTCTTAATTGTGTGTATATGGTCCTATTGTA